ATAATTATATATTTATAGTATTTTTATATTCTATTTAGAATATAAAATGTGTTATTTTATTACTGCTTTATCAAATTTCATTTTTACAACATTATAACAAGATATATGGATTTTTTATTGTGTATTGTATAATCTCAAATATTCTATTTTGATAGAATAATGATGTAAATGAATAATGACTGCTTAAGCTTTGTACATTGGCGTGCTGCATTATATATATTTACTAACTCTGTAATATTGAGTTTGCAGATGGATGGCCGCTGAAGACAAACAACGAGATCCGGTATTATTTAACGCAATATTTTTACATATTGCGAATATTACTGATGACTTTCTCTGTTTTGATGTTACATCGGACATTTTTTTTTGCCTATGTGTACCTTTAACTACTGTTTCTTCCAGGCATATCATAGCGTAATATTTCTTAATAGTATACCCTTTCTCTATTTTCCCCAAAAAAATTATTATTAGCGTGTCATAGAAGATATAATAAGCCGTAATGATTTATTCATCGTGCAGTATGGAGAATTAACGGCTGTTGTTGTGTGTTCTGTGCGGATCACAGAAAATTAACATCTCTTGTTAGAAGAACGAAGCCATTAGGATTGACACCAAATGACATTCGACTACGAACTTTTTCATATATTAAGAATCTTCGATTTAGCAGGTAATCGATAAAATATTCATTAAAACGCGATTTTTCCAATCAGTATTCACGCGATTGAAAAAATATATATTTTATAAGCAAATTTAATTATTTCGGAGTAAGACATATAATTTCTCCGTTGAGAGAACAATAGAGAATATAAAAAAAAAAGTGTTCTATTTCGATGGTGGGCACTGGGCATGTGTTTTAATCTTCGATATATGAGTGAGGCAACAATACGAAGGCATCACACTGGAATAGTCTTCCTAATTCTAATCTTTTACTAGGTAAGGCAACAAGTCTTGTCTATTCATATATATTTCTTCCTTTGTACATGTACACCCTTTTTAAACATTTGAATAAATTTATCAGAAATCTAGAAATATTTAACTCGTCGGTTTTTGCAATACTACACATCTTGCTTGCTGTACGAGCAATTGTGCATTGCTTTTTGATAACGAGTAATCGTATGTATCGCGAGCCCATCCAGATTTCCATCCTCTCATTGATTCTTAACACGCAAAATATAACGTAAATATTGCTTTGAATTATTCGATTTTTAGGAAGAGAATTATGTTAACGTTTCTCGGATTAGAGTATTGTGTTTAAATGAAAGTTTCTTTTATTTATATGAAAATGGTTTGTCCATTAGTCAAACGAGTATATCCCAGCTAAGTGTACTTTAACAAATTTTGCAAAGCGTTAATTGACAAATGGGAAAATTACAAAATTTATACAGAATCTGTTATCGAATGTCACAAAAAATATAATTAAGAATTTGTTTACACAATCGAGCATTTGCACGTAAGTTGATGCAGACTTCCGATAATGGAAGTTGAACAGAACTTGCCAAATTATGTTGACACACTTTGCAAGTAGAATACGAGCGTAATACAAATATTGATACACTGAATTTGCATTTTTTGAACGAATTTACTGCCATTCTGTTAATTTGTGAATAGTTGCTTACTGGGATATTTGTTTGCCAACGAAATATGAATATTTTGTCCAAGAGATATCGACGGATAATGTCATAATTTTTCCATACGTACACAAATTTGTGAATTTATCAGAGAGAATTGAAATTTGCGTAGGGCAAGTGATTCAACACCTTTAATAGATGTGCAAGGAGAAAAAGCGATGAAGCATCTTTTATTTTGTGAGATAGAGAGACAGAGAGAGATAGAGAGAGAGAGAGAGAGAGAGAGAGAGAGAGAGAGAGAGAGAGAGAGGAACGATTGAGAGTGTGACTGAGAAAAAGAAGAGAGACTGGTGAAGAACTAAAGAAAATATCATGAAGCAACGTTGAATAATGCGGTGGACCGATGGATTGAAAGTAGCACTGAAAGTGCACGAATTTCCAAGCTGCATATTCGACGTCTTCGAGCAAGAAGGCCTCTCGGACCAGCAGGGCCCCCTTTACAATCACCGACATCGTCGGCATGGCGCTTCTTTGCTAATTGTTTATGTAGCTAAACGAAACTGGAGTGAAAGAGACAGGAATCTTAGAAAAGAGAAAAAGATAAAAGATAAAAGGCCAAGATAGATCGCGCTCCAAAATTTGCAGCTCAAGCGTGTATCTATATAGAATTCTCTTTTGCAGTTTATTTGCATTTGATGGAAAATGATATTGTTAAGAAATTCTTCATAATTCTACAAAATTGTCAGGAAATTATTCTTTTCCAAATTATTCGCGATAATCGCATTCGTTTCAACGGATAAACGTACAACGAAGCACGTGTAAAACGAAAGAAAGTTTTATAACGCGGTTTGCGCGAGGCTTTTTCAGTATCCGTGTCACATGGCATCAATGACGAGATTCGCGCTTCATCGCAAATTTTGGTGTGACGACAATTTCATTGCGCGTCTCGGAAAAATTACGTAAGATTTGATTTTTGGAAAATTACCTCGTGTGGACGGGGAAGCTCGGCGCATCGAGAGGACGGGATGCAACGAGGTTCGTGAGACGAACCACGTGTTCCAGCCCACGTGTCGACGATGAAATTTTGTTGCATCGCGACGATTTCAGCGTCCGAGTTCTGTCCGGGGTTGGGTTCTGGTCCGTTTGGGACCGACTTACGCGCGACCACCGTGCGTAAGTTCAAACGAAACGCGCTTTCGCGAGAGATACGCTATCGCAGAGACCGATGTTTTTGCGACCGTCTCCACGCCGACGCACGTGGCTCATTGTCCATGCGTGTGCTGCCGTTGGCTGACGTATACCGCGCTACGGGATCCATATCTACTAACTGTTCGACGCACATCGACCCGCGCCGAACTTGATTCCTCCTTGCGCGGCGTCCACCGCTCCATGAGATTTGCGGAAACGGAAAAACTATTCTATCCAAAAGAGTACAAATATATGCATAATTACGCTCGGATAATAATTTTTCTTGATTTATCAATAATTAATTGATAAGCGTTAACATGATTATTATACAGTCGGCGATCATATTTGAGAGAGCGTGGAAGCGTTTTCTACGATCCTCACATATGTATATATTTTGTGATATTTTTATACATGCATATAGAAAGATATTCTATTTTTAATTGAATAATATATAAAAGAGGAAGTATACAAAGACATGGCAGTATAATTATCAATTTTTATCCTAGCGCATTTAAAAACTTGGAATCAGTGGAAAATTTATTCAAATTTTGTGCTTTTTAAATATAAAAAAACAAGAGTCATTTTCCATCAAATACATATCCTCGATTGATATACTTTGACTGAATGTTTTACAAACAAAAATATTTGCATACAATCAGATAGAATATTTTTATTGTTTCTTTTTATACACATTGACATACACATTGCCATATTGTAAATTGTTAGGCTAATGTTTAAAATTATTAGGCAATAAATCTTATTAAATGTACAAATAAATAAGATAATCTCTAATTCATTTCGGAGCTGTAATATGCGCCGATTTAATTAGTATTGTATTGAATTATGGATTAAATATTGAATTATGGATTGGCAGAATGGTGCTTTTTTTAGAATGCCCGCTTAAATTAATCTTTGAATATACTGAAACGTTGCTCGATAAAAAAACTTCTATTGTGCAAACAGAATAATATTTACTGTCATTTAATAGCACATTAGTTGTTATTCTTATACAAATAATATCAAATATATATTCAAATTGGTTTTAGATACAGTAAAATTTCGATCGCAATTTAAGTAGATATTTTTAATGTATAATTTAATTTCAAATTGTTACAAATGTAAAAAATATACGTTTATATATAATAATATTAAACGAATACCAAATGAATAATGAATAAATAAAACGGGATATAAATGTTTATATAGTTTCATATTAATTTAACTTAAAAAGCACAAGACAATGAGAATTGTAACGATTTATTTCTTATATGTGTGTGTACACACACACACACACACACACACACACACACACACACACACAGAGGAAAGTGTTACTAATTTCTTAGATAGGCGATTAGATAGAATCGTTCATATTATTGTTATTTGCACGAATGAATTTCAATTCTTGCAACATTGTGAATTTTCGCATAATTTTTAATCAATATAACACAATAAGATATAAAGATCGTGGATTGCATCGAGAATACATTAATACACTATTCGAAGAAACTCTGCTTAGAGAGCAGATAAATGTCATGTTTTTCTTTTTTATCATAAATCTGTGTGGAAATAAAAAAATCCTTCATAACACAACCTATACTCTCCTTAATTTTTATGTTAATTTCTGTTGTGCTTTTTATTTCAGTATTGTCAGTGTATACTCTCTAATATTTGAGATATAACTCAGTTATTCTATTCGTTATTCGAATTTGTGGATTTAATAAGGATATCTAGAGACAGTATTCAAATATTGGTAGTATTACTCTACACTGTATCCTTTAAAATATTAAAAAGCTAATTTAATACAAATTCTATTTTGTTTGTCGTATGTTAAAGCCTTTTTGTATTACTTGTAAAATGGGACAGCGATTCTATATGATAAAAATATTTATTTATATGAAGGATGATAAATTTATGCATATAAAGGATAATAAATTTATACATATAAATGATAATAAATTGTTGCATATGAATAATAATAAATTTATATGCTTTAGTGTGTTATGATACATTTCTTTAAGATTATTCCTTATATTAAATTACGATTTAAAAAAAAAATATAAATAATAAATGAATATCTTTCTTAATTATCATGTTAACATAATATTTATGTATGTAATAACACTTTTTCATATATATGTATATACAGAAATCCCAAGTAGCACAGCAGCGCTTGCAGAGCGCTAAAAAAATGATTATATGCGCTTTTTTAGCGTTTTGTTAAATTATTATATACGCTTTTTTAACGCTTTATAAGCGCTGTGTGCTACTTGGGATATCACTTTTACAATTTGTAATAGTCAAGATTTTATTGAAGCGATTTAAATTTGTTTTCATAATAAATAGACTTATATTGTAAAGACAACTGTAATTTAAATACAATTATTACAAATTTTCATCTTTTTTGCTTATGAATTTTTTTATTATGAATATACGTAATCGCAATTGTTATCTCTATTTTGTATGATTTTTATGTGCAGTAAAAATAAATATAAAAATTCATTTTATAAAGAATGTGTATTAAAGAAATATATTGAACAGTTTAATAAAAACTAAGTATATTGAATTAAATTAAATAATAAATATCAAAAAAAGCACCAATAAGAGTCAGCATAGAAATCGTTATGAATTTGTTGATAATAAATCCATTACACAATCTGTTCATAGCTTTAATAACGATCAAATAATGTTTCACTAACAATTTGATGGAAATTTTGCACTGAAGAGAATTCGAATTGTAAATTGAAATATATATAATTATATTATGCGTGTTTTAGTGTTTTACAGAAAAAGTCTTCAAATATTTAATTAAATAAAGTTATTAATACTCAAAAAAACTCCGTGCTAGCTTTTATTGGCATACTCTTCTTTGATATTTATTGTTTAATTTAATAATCATGTGAAATAATACCTAATATTTATATTCTTATATTTTTCAGCATTGTAATTATAAAGTGATTTAAAGAAATATATATTTTTTTGTAAATCATTATTGCCTTAATTTTAAAATTTCTTTATATAATAATATTAAATTAAATTACAGAAAT